CAGCAGGTAGACCAAGGCCTCCTGCTCCCTAGGGGACAAGGTGGTCTCTGGGTGGCCCTGTGCTGTGGCACAGCAGAGCAGGGGTTCTCTCACGTGGGGCAGTGGTACAGCAGATGGATTAAAATGTTCTTGCTCCCTGGTGGGCTGTGGGGCTGGGCTGCCTGCACCTCCTCTCCTGCCATGGCCTGGCGTGTGCCAGCATCCCCCAGTGCCACCAGCAGCCTGTGTGGATGTCCTGCTGCTGTTCCCCTGCAGCCACGCAGCCTGTCCCTCCACACACTTGGCTCCTGCCTGCCCATCCCTTGCAGCTCTCCAGTGTCTCACTGGTGGCATCTTTCTCTCAAAATAGACCCTTCAAGGACCTGGGGGCCCAGGACCTGCCTGTGAGGCCTCTCTGCAGCTGAGCTGGGCTGCTAAGACTTCACCATAGCTGGGAGCTGCCTTTGGTCCTTGGGATCATGTTTGCCCCAGGAGTGCCAGTGCTCACTGGGATGGGGATGTGGGAATGCCAGGGCTGCCCATCACCTGGGGACCTGGGTGTGCCACACACAGGGGCAATGAATCTCCCTGTGGGCATCCCAGTCTCATCACACCTGCACTCCTGGAAACAAGAAGGGCTGGGGGACGGAGGGAAGGTGCTGCCTGCTATTATCCCACAGGGAGCTCTGCATGTCCCTGCTGGCACCCTGGCAGTAGTGGTGCGTGGCAACCTCCCAGCGTGGTGCCAGGGACAAACTGTGCCAGGGAGTGGCCCTCCTCCCCTTCAGCAGTGCTCCCACCTGCCTGGGCTCCTGGGTGACAAAGCCATCCGCTGTGGGGTGGGGGAGGCAGGCCAGAGCAAGGGCCAGGGGCACCTTTCACATCTTGGCCCCCTCCACAGCCTCCTGCTGGCCCCTCGGTGCCAGAGAAAAGCCCGGATACAGTCTGGCTAGAAAGACGTATTTATTGCGACATCGGTTTGCAACCAGCACTCACCCCCCCAGCAGCGACTGCAGACCCCCGCACATGCCCTTGGCCCTGCTGGGATGCCTGCATGGCCAGCGGCCGGTACCTGGGGCCACAAGCCCCCTCCCCTTTCCAGGCAGGTTCACTGGGGCTGCAGGCTGGGGTCCCGCCGTGCCAGGAGCTGCCCGCGAGCTGGCAGCGTGGGGTAAAGAACAGAAGCCGGATTCAGGGCCGCTCACCGGTGCAAGCCACCAGCTGGGATCTCCAAGCAGTCACAAGGCTCTCAGAATCCCAGGGAGAGAGCGGGGTCAGTCCCCCAAGCACATGAGAGGGCTGAGCACGGGCGATGCCGCCGTGCCCTCTGCTCTTACCGCGCTCCCTTGGTGCCAGCCCGGACGCTCTGGGGAGCCGGGAGAGGCGCCAGCCTGGTTCCCCCCTGCAGCCACTACACGTATCCTGTCAGGTTGTAGGAATTGACTTCACTCTTGGTTTTCTGCGCCTGGCTGACAGAGGGCCGGGAGCTCTTGCTGGCCAGCAGCTGGGGCCGGTAGGCGCTGGAGTAGGCGGCGGTGCTGTCCCGGGCAGGGCAGGAGGTGCAGAGGATCAAGCCGCCGACGAGGGAGAGCAGGGAGGAGATGATGCCGAGGTAAAGAGCCTCCCCGAGCTCGAACTTCATGCTGTCGGGGATGACGGGGTTGCGGAAATCCCGCAGCACCACGTGGATGTTCCACACCAGCGGGATGAAGCAGAGCAGCCCCCCGAGGACGAAGACCGCGCCGCCCGCCACGGCCACGCGGTCCTTGGCCGGCGAGCCCTGGCTGAAGACGGTGCACCTCATGCCCACGACAGAGAGCAGGCAGGCCAGGGAGGACACGGCGCAGGAGCTCACCATGAGGGCTTGGGCCGCCTGGACGTCGGCGGGCAGGTTGAGCAGGGAGCTGTAGATGTCGCACTGGGTGATGCCCGTGCTGTACGTGGCGCACTCCATCCACAGCCCCTTGGTGAAGCTGATGGCCGTCACGATGCTGGAGCCGATGTAGGAGCTGGTCTTCCAGCTGGGCAGCAGCGTGGCCGTCAGCGTGCCGATGTAGCCCAGGAAGGCCACGGCGTAGCCCAGCAGCTGGAGCCCCATGGACACCATGGTGGGGGCTGGCTGTCGCTCTGTCGCCTGGCCGAGGCTCGCGGTGGTGGCCCAGGTCCCTCCCGTGTGCTCACGTTCCCATGGCCCTGGGAGAGGCTCGGCTCGCAGCGCTGCGGCTCCTCCCCGCTGCCGGGGGTGCCGGTTTTGTGCGGGTGGGAGCGCGGGGAGGTTACCTGCGGGAGAGCAAAGCAAATCTCCCCGTTAACGATTGACCCGAGCCCCTGGGGGAGCGCCAGGCGCCCTTTCACCCCCGCTATCTCCCCAGCCGGGCTCCGGGGGCAGAGCAGGCTGCCCAGGAAGGACGCCAAAGCCCTCCCCTGCACTGACGCCGCGGGCAGGATGGAGAGCCAGCTGCTGCTGGGGGAAAGTGCCCGCTGCCTTCCTCGAGCTCCCTTGTCTTCTGTGCTGCCTCCAGCTGAGGAAACCGAAAAGCTGTGGCTGCACCGTCTTATCTGGGACCTGCTGGAGGTGGCTTCAGGTGGTAAAACCAAAGCTCCTCCAGCTGAGAAAAAGGGATGGCACCTCATACCCATCTGCGTGGGGCTCACCCAAGACATCTGCAGTCACCCAGGACTCACTCCGAGCTGCTGAGGCTCCTTTGGGACAAAGGGACATGGCCACCTGAGATTGAACCATGGATATCAGCCTTTCTGTGCTGCTGGGGACAAGGATGGAGAGGGATGCGTGTGACAGTGACACCTGCATCCCCAGGAGAGCCTGGAGGCCCACAGAGGGCAGAATTACATCAGGGCTGGCATCTCCTTCGGGATGCTTTGCCAGCCAAGCGGGGTGACCTGTCCTGTGGAGGGGTGAGCAGCTCGGGGTGCAGCTCACGCTGGGACTTTGTGTCAGTGCCACCTTCTGCCCACAGCCCTGTACACAGGCGGGGGGGGTTGGCAGAGGTGGTGGAAAGGGTTGGTTTGTTTTCCCTCTGCTTTGTTTAAAAATTCCTCCTTCTGTGGTGCCTTGCGAAACCGGGCTGAGCCCCGGCACCGCGGCCAGTGGCCTCCCTCTCCCTGGGAACGCTCCTGGCTGAGCATGCTGCCACCACCCAGGGCCACCCCTGCTCCTGTCCCCCCCTCCCGCCACCTCCAGTGTTGGCACCAAAGTTTCCCAGCTGTCTGTCTCCTCTCCTGTGCTCTAACCAAGACCTCCCACACCGTCTCAGCTGCTGGAAAAGAAACACCTGGGGTGCTCAGGGTGCTCAGGGTGCCGGCAGAAAGGTGAGGGAGTGAGGGAGGGAGCTCTGTGGTACTTACGGAGGGGGCTGGAGGTGCAGGGGGGGACCCGGGGTGGCTGCAGCCGGGGGTCACCCAGGACTGGAGGCGGCTGCCTGGGGCAGGGTGAGCAGCCAGGGGATCAGGGGCTGCACTTGTTCAGCTACAGCTTTGCACAATCCACCTGCAAATCTCCTGGATCAGAGGCTTATTGCAGATCAGAATTAAACCCTTTGGGTGTTGGGGAGGACTGGGGAGCTGGGATGCCTTGCTTTGCTGGTTGTCTATGAATTATTGGGGTAGGTTCACCTAATGGGTTCAGGTTTGAGGCTTGCTGTCATCCTTCTGGACAGCCTGTGACTGTGCCACCATCCATGTGTCCACTCTGGGCTGTGCTGCCTGTATTGGGGTTTGAGGGGCAGTGAAACACCAGCAGGTTGAGCTCCCCACTCCTCAGCCTGAACTTTTGGTTTACTCTTCCTGGCCCTGCTTGTCCTCCACGGGGTTTGTTGTTGTAAGACTACTGGCCCAAATGAGGAGCAAATGGGGAAGGTAATGAGAGCTGTGCTGGCCCCGTGCCCCCTCCTGCTCACCGGCTGCCACAGATGGAGAGGGGCAGGGAGGGCCTCTGGTGACAAATTGTGCTCAGAGCTGAGCAGGGTCCGGCCAGCGTTTGGACAGCGGTGTTTGGATGCTGATAGCAGAGCTACAAGCAGGGACCATTTGCTATTTTCTTTCCTTGTCCCAAACTGAAACTCTCCCAGGAGCAGGAGGTGACTGCCAGTGGCACTGTCTTTGAGTGCTTGGGCAGGAGCAGTGGGCAGGGATGGGATGAGTGGCCCTGCTGGTGCTAGGGGCTGCATCAGCCTTGCACCCTCACATCAAGGAGCTTTTCTGTACCTCCTGGGGTGGCCCACATCTCAAAAACTCAAAGGAAAGGGCAGGGAACACTGGTAAGTGGTTGCTCTCCCATCTGTGGAAATGGGATCTGGCAGCTCCCTGGGGTGATGGGTCATGGATGCCTGAGCAGGACCATTGCCCTGATAGTGCCTGGGGTCCATCCCTGCCATGGGTCCTCCCTCCCTGTCTGCTCTTGAGCCTCCCGGAGCTATCAGCTGCCTCCTGGTGGCTCTGTGCTTGCCACCACTGTAGCCCATCAGTGTCCTCATCATGCCCGTTGTGCTGTCCCCAACACAAGCCCAGCACACTGTGCCCATGGCATGCCCAGCACTCAGCCCATTGCACTGTCCCAATCCCATACCCATCATGCCACCCCTCCGTTCCCCATCCCTTTCCCATCTCCCCTGCATCCCTTATGCAAATGCCTACAAAGAGCACTTAATCATCCTTGTTAATTGTCTCTACCCTCCCCTGTTCCCCCCCGGGGATTTTCTCACAAATGGTGTCCAAATTTTCCCTTTTGTGTTTTGCTTTTCCACCAGAGATCGCAGCCCCTCCGCCCCCAGCCTCCCCCCGGCCCTCTGTTTACACAACTGGGACAAATTTCACACTGCTGTCCCCACAGCCCCATCCCCTCGTTCCCCTGCCCCAAAGAATCTGTGAGTCACGGCCGAGGCTGAGCTATAAATGTGTCCCCACCGAGGCTCGGCAGTGTCAGAAGGGACAGCGTCTCCTGCCACCATGCAAGCTGCTGCCTGCTGCCTGGCTGCCCCCGGGCTCCCAGCGCCGCTGGCCAGTGCCTGCCCCCCGCCGGGGCTGGAGCAAGGGCCGAGGTACGGGGGAAGTGGGGCAGGCGGGGGCTGGGGAAGCTCCCGCTGGGCTCGGGTGAGGCTGCGGTGCTGGGGACACCTCGGATCCCAGCGGCCATGGGTGGGACGGAGGGTGCTGCTCGGGCGGGTGAGGCGGTGGGGCTGAAGCTGCTCTCTCCCATAGAGCCTTTCCTCTCTGGAGGCCGTGGCTGCCCCGAGCCCAGGAGGGACCCGCGACGCGGCAGGAGATGGACGCTGTGAGTTTGGCACTCCCCGCTGTGTCTGTCCCCACGCCCGTGGGGTTCCTGCTGGGTAAAGCCAGCCTGTCGCCCCAGAGGCTCACTTTGTCCCGCGGAGTCCCTTGTCCCACGGCCGTGCCGTGTCCGCCTCCCCCGGAGCATCACCCGCCGTGGGCAGGGCGAGCCCCGGGGGACAGGGCCCCGCAGCCCCGAATGTTCCCAGGCTGGGCATTCCTCAGGGCCTTAGCGGGATGCCCGGGCAGCGCTCTGGAGCACGGGGCAGAGATTACACTGGCTGCCAGCCTGCCGGGCGGCGCGGGGTGGATGCCAGCCTCCCCGGGGCGGGGGAGCCGGCAGCGCGGCACCCGGGCCAGCCCGGCGGGGCGGGCAGGGCAGCGGGGCCCGGTGCCACCCGCCTGTGTCTCCCCAGGCTCGGGCGGCGGAGCGGGACGGCGGTCCCGGCAAGGCGCTGCCGTTCTTCCAGCACCCGGTCAGGTACGTGCCGGGCCCCGGGGCGCCGGGCGGGCGCGGCGGGCGGGGCTCACCCCGGCTCTCCCCACACAGGCTCCTCTGGCCCAAGTCCAAGGCCTTTGACCACCTGTACAGCGTGGGGGAGAAGCTGCTGGAGAACTTCCCGGTGCAGGCCACCCTCTTCTTTTATGAGGACTCGGGCAGCGAGGAGGAGGAGGAGGAGGAAGAAGAAGAAGAGAGGGATGATGAAGAGGAGGAAGCGACAGGAGATGTGACCGCGGGACACCCGCGGAAAGCTGGCAGCCCCGGCCTCAGCAGGCCGGTGTGAGGCAACAGGCGGGGGAAGGCAGACAGCGCTGGGTGCGGCAGCGGGGCCCGGCCCGCCGGAGCTCCGGCCAGCCCCGGGGCCGCGCCCGCGCTCCGCCGCGCCTCGGCGGGGCTCAGAACTACGACTCCCAGCGGCCACCGCGGCCCGCCCGGCCGGCGCGGCCCGCTCTGATTGGCTGTCGATCCGTCCCGCGCAGCGGGAGGCGCGTTGGCCCCGCCCACGCTGCCGCCCCTCATCCCCATTGCAAGAGGAAGGCGGGGCGCGCGGGCCGCGGAGGCGCGCGATTGGCCGAGGGGCGCGAGGGGCGTGTCGGGGGCGGGGCCTGCCTGCCCTGCCCGGCGGCGGGAGGGAGCGGCTGCGGCGGGCGCGGGGCCGCCATGAGGTACCGCGGGGCCGGGCGGAGCGCGGGGCCGAGCGGCCGCGGGCCGGGGCGGGCGGGAGCGGCCCGGGAGCCGGGGCCGGGAGCCCTGGCACTGGCGGGGTGGCTGGGCGCGTGGCGAACAGCAGAGCGGCGGAGACGAGGAGGACGTGTCGGTGGGGCGGAGGGTGGGGCTGGAGAGATCCCGCACAGCCGGGGAGGTGGGCTGGGACCCCGCTGTGGGGTGACAGGTGAGGAAGGAGACCCATTTATGGGGTAACAGGTGAGCTAGGGGATCCCGCTGTGGGGTGACAGGTGAGGAAGGGACCCCACTATAGGGTGACAGGTGAGCTAGGGGACCCCGCTGTGGGGTGACAGGTGAGCTAGAGGTGAGAGGTAGGCGGGGGGACTCTGCCATAGGGTGGCAGGGGAGCTGGGGGTCCCTGTTGTGGGTCCCTGTTGTGGGGTCACAGGGGAGCTGGGGGTCCCTGTTGTGGGGTCACAGGGGAGCTGGGGGTCCCTGTTGTGGGTCCCTGTTGTGGGGTCACAGGGGAGCTCGGTGTCTCGGCTGTGGGGTGACACTTAGGCTTGAGGTCTCTGCCGTGGGGTGGCACTGGAGGCTCAGGGGGCACAGGAAAGCCCCTGCACAGCTGGGCAGGTGGGCTGGGGGTCCCTGCAGCAGCAGGGTGACACGGCCTGGGGGTCCCTGCCGTGGTGGCTCTGGAAGCTGAGCGCAGTGGGGATCAGTTCGAGTTGGGTCTGGGCGCAGAGCGGCCGGGCTGGGGCTGCCAGGGCAGCGTGAGGAGCAGGGTGGGGTGTGAAGGCTGCTTTGGGAGGGCGAGGCTTTCTGCCCTCTCAAGCGTAGCCGGTGTAGCCTCTTCTCTGCGTGCATTTGGCACGGAAAAGCCCCAGCATCGCTGGGATCCGGCTGAGCCGCTGGCACGGCGGCTACGTGATGCTGGCACGGTCGGCATCCTCCGTGCGCGCCGTGGCGCGTCACTGGGGCTGTGCACCCCCCGACCCGTGCCTGGGCCACCCCCAGCCCGTCGAGGCAGTGCCACCTCCCGGAGCGGGACCCCCGGGTCCCCTCGGGGTCCGCGGGGTCCGGCTCCACGCGCGCTCCGTTTCTCCCGGCACGATTTCCTCCTCTGGCAGCAAGTGACGGGAGCGGGGGCGGAGATGGGGGAGCCTGGGGGAGACACAAATGTGCGACTGCAGCATCCTCACTCCCATGGCTGCATCCCTCGCGCCTCCTCACGGTTGCCTTAGCAACCTCCTATCGATGGGGTATTTATAGAGGATGGGAAGCTGGAGGGAGGGGGGGATCGGGAATGGGTGGGCGTCTGCTAGGTCAGCCTCCAGCTTCAGGCTTCTCTCAGCTTGCGTGGGGGCAGGAGGGATGCTGCTCCCCTTGGCGTCAGCGTGTGCACTGTTCCAGCTTTTCCTGCTCGCTGGAGCCAGGGGAGGTGGCCAGGAATTTGCATGTGGAAATAAAAATAAGCATCTGGGACGTCTGCCCTTTCCACCGGCCTTGCTCGTGCTCAGAGGCTTGTGTGCACCTCCCTGATTGTGGCAGCGGGTGCATTGACACAGATACATGGAAGAAAGTAAAAGAGTGTAAATTAAATTAAAGAGCATTAAATTTGTTGCCTGATGTGTGATGTGAGAATATCCTTCTTTCTGTGTCTTTGTTCTCCTGTCCATCAGAGGGGGAGAATGCCCCTAACAAGGAGGGTTTGTGTGGAAACTGTGGCATGCTGTCTGTGCTGTGCTTTCTTTTATCCTGGGGCTTTGGGTCTCTTTGTAAAAACTGATGACAGCAGAAGTGGGTCAGGTGGTCCCTGCTCAGAGCCTGTGGGGGAATTCATGGATCCAGAGGCCTCTCACATCCCCCAGAAGGGCTCAGAGAAGCAGGACTGGGCTGTGGGGCACTGGAGGCAGCAGACCTCTCCCATGTACTTCTGGTGCTCTGCTGCTTTCCCTCGCTCTTGCTTCAACTCCAGAATGAGGTTTGCAATCTGAGCTTCCCAAATTCAAACTTGGGAAGAAGCTGCTTTCTCTCTCTGGACACAGCTCCAGGCTTGCATGCCCTCTTGCTACTCTACGGTGTAGGAGCCTTGGAAAGCACAGCAAACCTGATGTTGGCAGGGAGAGGTGCTCTGTTTACTGGAAGGTGGCTGTTGTGAGGTGTGCTGGTGTGCAGCATCAGCCCTTCTGTGTGCCTGCCTTTTATGTGAAAAGGAGAACTGTGTTTCCAGACCTGCTGACCCTGTGAACAGCTCTGTGCTGTCCCTGACCTCACTCCAGCACAGCAGATCCAAGTGCTTTTGGAATAACTGGATATCTAAAGTGTGGTCCTGCAGTTCCTGCTGTTTCTAACCTGCTTCTGCTTGCTCCTTCATCTGCAATAAATCCCTGCAGGAGCTGGGCAGTCCTGTCCCCTCTGTCTCCTGACAGAGGTGTCACAGCAAGTGTCACACACAGCAATAGTCAGCCCAGGGCAGTCTGATCCGTGGGGCATTGAGCACAGGGAGAATACAAAGCATGGGAAACAAGCAGATATCCTCTGCTTCTGCAGGGCTTTGTTGAACTCCTGTTGTGTTTAGTTTAGTTTTGCTTTTGAAGCACAAAGAGTGCTTGTCTGGCTGGAGAGCTGTTGTCCTGGCTGTGCAGGCAGCTCTGTCACTCTTGCTGCTGCCCTTAGCTTGGCCCAACAACCAGATTGTGGGTAGGAGTTGCAGAAGTGAGAACTGGCACGTCTGTGAAGTTGCTCTAAAATAAGATGATTGCTTCACCTGTATCCATCACTCTTTTGTGGAAGGGAAGAGCACCAGGCTGCACCCAGCAGTCTCTGACATGCAGTTCATCTTGTCTGCTGGTGAGAAATGGGGTCTATTGCTGGTCTGCAAGCCCTGCTTCTCCATGGGACCTGTCCCAGCACTCTGGGAGCTGAGGGTGCCCTGAGCCCCTCCAGGCAGGTGAAGAGCAGGGAGACAGCTGGAATCCTTGGCTCTCTGCAGGGGCACTGTGGGGCTGGGATCTGTCGTGGGTCCAGCACTCAGCACCGTGCTTTCTGCATGAATCTGATCCTGGGTAACAGGGGTCTGTGCTTTGAAACTGGGCTGGAAATGGAAGCTGTCAGTGACTCTCCTGTTTTCTTCCCTGCAGGTAGGCAGGAGCCCCCTTTGGCCGAGTGAGGCAGCATGGCAAGTAAGTGCTCCCCAGGCAAGATGGAGAGGTGCTGGTGGTGTTGGAGGAGAGAAGGGGGATGTTTGACAGCCTCCTCTCAAGAAAGGGGTGCCTGTGCATTCTGAGGGAAGTTGCTCTCTGTGGGGAGCAGCTGTCATTTACTTTTGGCTCTGGTGAGGTCTGAGGTCCGGCCTGACTTGTGCTTCTCTCTCCCCTCTGCAAGGTGGGAGTCGAGAGGAGGTGCTGAAGGTCTGACCTCTCCGGGACTACCCGGAGGCTGCAGCCTTTCTGCCTCTGTGTGGTGCTTGCTGTGCAGGACGGGCCTCCCCAGGGCTCTCTGGGCTGCCTGTCTGCACTGACATCTCTCATCAACGGTGCTCCTCATGCCCATGGCTGGCACCCTGCCAGTGCCCACCTGAGGGCCACACTGCCCTGTGTGGCTGGTGGCACTGGGCTCTGTGCTCTGTGGAAGCTGCCGAGCTCAGCTCCACCCTGAGCTCGCTGTGGCACACCCAGAGCAGTGCTGGGCCAGCACTAAAGATGGGCTGAGCCTGTGAGGCTGTAGAGAGCTGTGTGGTCTGTCCAGAGCCGGGATCAGGCCTCCCTCCTGGCTCTCCTGGGCAGCCTGCATGGAGGCTGCGTGCCCCGGTGTGACGGGAGCTAAGGAGGATGGCAGGAGTGAAGGGGAGATGGAGAGATCTGTCTGGGATCTCAGGATTTGCTTGGAGTGTCACCAGAGCCAGCTGTGAAGGTGGAGGCAGTGGCCATGCTGGGGAGCAGGAGGACCCCAGGGATGACAGGTATGCCTTCTTTCTTTATCTGTGTTGTGCTTGGTGCGGGAGGGAGCAGAGATCTTCAGGCAGTGTTTTTAAAAGGCTGCTTTAATCTTCAGTTAATGGGGAGGGTGCCCAGCTGGCTCCCTGTCTTCCTCCACTGCTGCCTTTTTGCCTTCCCAGAGCTCAGGTGCTGGCTCACCAGCATGTCCTGGTGGTGGAAGGTGTCCCCTGTGGTGACAGTGTCCCCTTCATGGTGACCCTGATGTGCGGGGGGGGATGTGGTGATGTGCAGGTTCTCCACCACATGCTCCCTGCCATCCCTGGCTGTCCCCCTGCAGGCACAGCCACAGTCCTTCCCCAGAGAAGCAGCCCCTGGGTGCCCCCCAAGCAGGGCAGCTGAGACATTGGGGTGGTGTCCTCCAGGGGCCAGCAGCACCCCAGGAAGCCCAACAGGGATGAGGTGAGCCCAGCCCTTGCTCTTGCTTCCCCTGCCTAAAAGCTCTGATCTTTCCTGAGCACCGGTTCTCCAGCTGGTGTGGGGAGGCTTGGAGAGGCACAGGGGATCAGCACTGAGGCTGCTGGGCACTGGCAGGTCCCCTCACCCGTGGTTTGGGGACAGGACCTGCTTGGCTATCTGCTCTTCATGTCAGCTGGGGATCCAGTAGAGATGAGGGGCTCCTTTCCTGAGGGCCAGTGGTTTTCCTGCTCTGGTCCCAAACCACGTGGGAGTTCTTTGCACTTTCAAGGGGAGGGAGCAGTGACTGAGTTTCTGCTCTTCTGCCATTTTTATGTCCCTGAAGGAAATTGCATGTGGGGAAAAACACACACCTCTGTCACAGCATGCTTGCAGTTGGGACAGTGCTTTTGATACCTGCCTGCCTGTGTGTCTGTTTTTATTTCCTACCTTAGTGGCCAACTCAGCATGGCAAAGCAGGGAACGGGTCCAGTGACTGCTTTCTGCAGGGATGGAAAACCCTGACAGTGAGAACTGCAGCCAAGCTTGTTGCTCTAAGATGTGCTGAGGAAGTTGAAATCTGAGTGTCAGGCTCAAGTGCCAAGGAGGGGAGAGTTTATACCACGGTCTGATCAAGGTGGGAGGCAAAGGAGGTGAGGCCAGACTTCTCCAGCAAAGTACGGGATATTTGCAGAATGAATGTTGTCTTTGTAAAATTTCATCTCCTTCTGGAAAGGCTCAAGACAAGATCAGCCTGCCAGCCTGTTCCCTCTCCAGCCAGGATAGCCCTCCTCAACTGTGAAAGCCAAGGCAAGCTGATCCCTGCCCTTCTGCAAGATGCCTTCTGTGCCTCTTGAAAATGCTTTTTCGGTTGTCCTTGTAAAAAAAAAAAAATGGTTTGCATAATAAAGTCGATTCTGAGGGAAGATCTGTGACTCACATCATTCATGCTGCTCTTCATTCACACCTCAGTGGCTCAGCCCTCTGCAAACTCTCAGAGAAGCAAGGCATTAATAAATCACAAGGGGAAAATGCACCTACACAGCACAAAAGCAGCTCAGTGCCTCCAAGCCCAGGCTGGTGTAGCACAGTAGTAGTTGTTTATTACACCATGATCTCGTCCCTGTTGATCTTTCCAAATACTCACAAATACCTTGCTGTATTGTTTCAGCAGCAGGGTACATGGAAGGTAAAGCAGAAGGAAACTTGCCTTTCTCCCTGGCAAAAGGTTCCTAAGGAAAGAAGTTGGTGGCTTTTCACTGACTGTTTTGCTTGTGGAGTCAGTATTTTGTTAGCACCAAGCTGGTCAGCTGGGAGATTCTGTCCCCCTTTGATGCTGCTGCTCTGTGAATAGGTTCACCTTGTTGATCCAGTGGAAGACTGAGCCTGAGTGTGAAGGAGGTAAATAGGTTCCCGTGGATCACCCATCTGAACTGATTCATCTTCCCAAGGGAAGCAGCAGGATTTTGTGGCTTGGTGGGAAGAGATGGAACCAGTCTGCAGCTGAGTGTGTTGAACTGCATTGTGGAAACACTCATTCATGAAATGCGTGTTTGGATCCTGGAAGGATCACGTTTTGTGTGAAGTTTCTGCTCCCTGAGCAAACAGCTTCTTTGCCTCCTGTGCTGCTGCAGGTCCTGGCAGGCGCTTGCCTCCTGTACCCCACGGAGGTGTCCCTCCTGCAGGGTATCAGGAGGGGCTTTGATGTCTCTCGTGCAGGCAGGAAGGTGTTGTTCCTGCTCCATCTGGCTTCAGGACTGCATGTGCTGTGGGAAGACTTGATGAGTCTCCCAGGCTTTGGGAGCAGAGGAAAGTTTGTGAGGCCTCTGCATAAAACACAGTGGGGATGAGAATGTGATGCTGTGGGAGGAGTGGTTGCTCAGGCCCCTGACTCGTACCCCCTGTGCCATCCCTGTGTTTTGGGGATGTTTGCCCTTGTTGTTCTGGGCCTGGGAGAAGACAGTGGTTTCTCTGGGGCCTGAACAGAGTCCTTGATGCCACCTGAGCTTGCATGACCCCTGAGCAGCTGGCAGCAGGGACACAGCTTCCAGCAGGCTGTTGAACTGTGGGCTGTGAGTCCCTCTTGGTGCTCACCCTGTGTCCTGGCAGAGCTCTGTGTCCCAGACCTGTGGGGTCTTGCTCTCCTGGTGGAATCTCCCTTGCCCTGCAGCAAAGGGGCAGAAAGATTGAATCCATCAGGGGCAGAAGGTTGGAAACAAATACTTTTGGAGCCTTTTGTCTCTTCCTCAGTTGCCCTGTGTGGCTGCAACTGCCACTTCTGATGTCTCTAGCACCTCAGCCCTGACAGGAGGGCTCCTGGTGCCATCTGTCTCTGGGCAGACCCCAAGCGTCCTGTGCCCCTCTGGCTGTCCTACCTGCTGTCCTACGTGATTGCAGGCCTGGGTTTTTGGTGTTGGGGATGCATGTGGCATCAGGGATCTGGGTCAGAAAGCTTGGCTGGGCAGAGGCCAGGTATGGGGCTGTGCCTGCTCAGAATGTCTCTGCCTTGTGTGTTGCAGTGTTCTTGGGAGCCAGGAATGCCCACTCACTCCTGAAACGCTTTCCCAGAGCCAATGGCTTCCTGGAGGAGATCCGGCAGGGCACCATCGAGCGGGAGTGCATCGAGGAGGTCTGCAGCTATGAGGAGGTCAAGGAGGTCTTTGAGAACAAGGAGAAGACGGTGCGTTTGTCCTACGCTGCTCCCCAGTGCATGTGGGAGGGCTCACTCCTCAGCAGGCTGGAGACAGAGGGAAAGCACGAGGGGACAGCCTCTCCTCTTCCCTTTGTCCTCTTCTGCCTGCAGGCAGCATGTCGTGGCTTCACTTCTTTGCATGGCTTTCCCTTCCCAGGCAATGGCCTCACCTTGCTTTTGCCAGGACTCCCTGCCCACAGCTGCAGGTTGAGGTGCTCCCATGGCACATGTGGCAAATCTGTGCTGTTGTCCATGATTCTCTAGGTTGGGCTTGCTGTGGGATAATTGAGGAATGTTCCCAGGTCCTTCTATCTTGGTTCCCACAGTGCCTCAGGAGTGGGGGACATCCAAAATGCTGCCCCTTTGGCCTGGGGAGGGTGGTGATTATTGCTGGTGGAGGTTGGGTCCTTCTCCCAGCTGCAGCACGTGATGGTTGTTTCTTTGTTCCCCTTGCAGATGGAGTTCTGGAAAGGCTACACCAGCTCTGTGTACTCTGTCAAGGACCCCGGGCACGGCACGGAGCGCTCTGACGCTATGTACGTGGTGGTGCCCCTCTTGGGAGTGGCTCTTCTCATAGTCATCGCCCTCTTCATCATCTGGAGGTGCCAGCTGCAAAAGGCCACGCGCCACCGCCCTTCCTATGCCCAGAACCGTTACCTGGCCAGCCGGACGGGCCGCAGCCTCCCCAGGGTCATGGTGTACCGGGAGCGGTCGCAGAGCCAAGGGGAGACCCAGTACCAGCGGGAAGCCAGCAGCCGGGGGGCTGGGGATGCCAGAGCGGGGGGCACCCCCCAGCCAGACGGCACCCTGTGCCCGCCAGAGCATTCTGTGTCCGTCCTCTCCAGACTGTCCAGTGCCACGCCCCCGCCTTCCTACGAGGAGGTGACGGGCCAGCCGGAGAGCAGCAGCGGCGAGGAGACCAGCGTCTCCTACAGTGACCCTCCGCCCAAGTACGAAGAGATCGTGGCCACGGCCCCTGCCGCGGGCAAATAGCGGCTCTGCCTCCCTCCTGCCTCTTCACACACTCACACTCACCCAGCCACCCTCCCTTCGCCGTGCCTGGGACCCCCTTCAGGGTTTGCCAGGCCCCCATCTCACCTGTACAATCTGGTGCCATCACACAATAGCCTTACCCTCCTAACCAAAAATAGCTGTCCCCAGGTGGGGGAGGCAGGGCTGTGGGACGGCTCTGGAGCCAGCCAGCCATGTCCTGCCCTCACTCCCCACTCACGTAAGTGCTGTAGCAGCCAGAGCCGAGCAGCAGCTTGTTCCTGGCTCAATGGGGGGGTCACCCCATGGTGCATTTGATTTCCTCACCTCCCCGTCAAACAGACATGACATTTCCCATGATTAGAGCAGCCTTGCTGCCACCCTGGGCTGCTGCTCAGCCTCACCCCATGTTCTCACTGGGCCCTGTTCTACTGCTCAGGGCTCTGATTAGGTGATGGAGATGCAGGATTGGTGTGGCAAATTTTTGTCCATCCCTGCAGTTGGTGGGGCCAGCTCTGTGGGGAGATGGTGCTTCCCCCATGTGGATTTGTTGCCAAGTGGGAGTGGGGAGCCCGGTCCACACTGTGGTGTTTGTAGTGATATTTGCTCTGTGGAGATCAGGGAGGAGCAGCTAGAAGGTGCTCTCTGATCTCCTAGATCTCTTTGGAAAGGGAGAAAGGGCTTGTGGTGGTCTTGTACTTGAGGTAAGTGACTTTGGAGTAGCAGGGCCTTTTCCTGATGTTCTCTGCTTTCCCCCTGTGGGTGCTGAGTAGCTGCAGGTCTGGCTGCTGCAGAGCTGGCCAAGGGGGTCTTCTCTGATCCTGAGCCAAATGTGGTCTCGTGGCTTTAAGTGATGGGGATTCAGCTCTCTCCTGGAGCGTGGCCTATCTGGTGTCTGCCCCAGAGGTGAGAGCCTGCAGACAGGCCAAACCTCCCCTCTCCCTGCCCTAAACCTCTCTGCCCTGCCTGGCTCCTCTCTTTGGGGCTCTTTGTCTTCCAGAGCAGGTACAGTGGAATGCGAGACCCCGCTCTCCCCCTGACCTCTCGGCTGGGCTGTGTTTGGTGTCCAGGGCTGTGGCATGGAACTCCTGCTGACAGGGGTGGGAGCCACAAGACCACAGACCATGCCTTGAGGTCAGGAGCGGGGTCAAGCCTGCTCGTGTGGTTGTGTTGCCAGGGCAGGGCAGAGCCAGGTGCTTTGCTGTGGGATCAGTGTCCCCTTTCCCTGGGCAGCTGCCTGTAGGGTCCAGGCAACGGGGCTGTCCTTCCCCAGTCATGTCTGATGGATTAATACAAGGGTTGTCCTCCAACCCCCCAGAAGCTCCCAGCACTGCCACCACCCGGTGTTCACCCAGCACCAGCCTCTCCACCAGCACCAAAAGGCTATTGTTCATCCATCAGTGGCCTGCATCCCGCCTGGCCCCAGTGATGCCCTTGCAGCTGGTGCCCTCAGCCCAGAGCTGAGGCTTGCCCAGCGTGGCTGCTCGTGGGGCAGGACATGCTGGCACCTTGTCTGTCCCCTGCCCAGCCTTAGCAGGTCGGGGTTATGGGGAGAGCTGACAGAGTGTCAGGGCCAGAGCTAGAGAACACCAGAGGGAAACACAAGGGTGCTCAGCATCCTCTGTCTTTGATGCTCGGTCATTATCCCTGCAGTTTGTATTCTGTAAGACTTGGTATATTTCTGTGCAAAAACAAAAAGGTATTTATTAAAAAACCCTCACAGTCTGAGCGGCACAGGGTGGCTTTTTCCCACAAAGGGTGTTGTGGGGGACAGTGACACCACTGACCTCTGCCACGGCTGCTGGCCGATCCCAGTGAGGATGGGAGTGTTTGGGAGTGAAGCCCCGAACATCACCTGGCCGTGTGGTGTACCCCCTGAGAAACCTGACGGTGTCCTGTGAGCCGCGAGCTGCCTGCAGGAGAGATGCAGAGAGGTTTTCTGAGGGGACTGAGGTGCATAGGTTGTCCTGCCGTCCTCTGTGTGCTCCTAAACCCCTTAGATAATCCCCTTTAAATAGCAAGACTAGGGCAGCGGGGGATTTATTTTAAGTCTTTTCAAACCCAGATTTTACGGTCAGGTCTTGGGCCCTGTCCCCATTCAGAAATGTTTAAACCTGCCGTTAATCCCCAAGGGACCATTTATCGCTGCGGAGGGCAGAGATTAGCTCCGGCACCGGGCGGCCCGGGGCTGTGCCGGCCCGGGGGCTGCGGGCACTGCGGGCAGCGGGCTCTGCCCGGGGCTGGGGACACGGGGAAGGTCCTGGTTGGCGTCTGCCCCCGGCGACAGCAATCCCAGCGTTGTGACACGCGGCTGAGCA